ACTGTATCTTACTTTAAGATTGTGTCCACCCTTATAAATCCTGGTAGGACTTCAAGTTCTCTTAGGATCGCCTCTGTGTATATAGATTAACTAATTAGCGGTGAGAATTCACATCCTTTTCTATTTTTGTTTACTTGTTCAATTCATTTTCTCTCTGTATGCAGGCAGTTTGCTTTCATTAAATGTCATGATTTATTCTATCCCCGCTCGCCGCAAAAAACATAAGCCATAATTTAGTTTCGACGGTTTGGTTTGGTTGATTTTGTTTTACTGTATATCAACCTCAATGGATTATTTAATACAGACATACTTTTTACGATATGCCTGTATAAATAGAATATGTATTCTTTGTAAGAAATCATTTTTGTAGATCAGTTTTCATTGACGTATTTTTGTAAAGTGTTTTTATTGATATTCAAATGTATTGCTGATATTTTTACTACTCTTATAGTGTTTTGATCCTAGTTTTGGAAGTTCACTATTTGTCCATAGCTAGGACCCTAACAGGTGCTACCACCCCTGGGTCAGGGTTTGCCTTCGGAACAGCAATTAAGAGGTAGTTCCACACTCCTCAAAACCTCTCGATGACAGGCCTTACTGCCGGATGTAGTTTAACGTCATCCCCAGAAATCCTTCATTTTGACTAAAAAAAAAAAAAAAAGTTTACAGCTTTAAATAAAAAGAGGCAAATCTTATTTTCTATTTTTTTTTTTTTTTTTTTTTTTTAAAGATAGTGGATTGCTTTTACGTTACATTTTTCACGGTTTGGAAATCAGTTTTCCTTCTTTTAGATTGGTTGTCGCTTAAGGCTAAAGAGTTCAGTCTACCCTGTTAATTAAACCTAGCCTAGTGTAGAACAGTGGATTCATGCCTTTCCTAAGAGTATTAGTGCTAAAGTGAACACTATTGAGTAGGTCTGAATTTGAACTCTGCGCACAAGTTTCGACACCGATAGCCGTTACGCTACTACCACAACTAGATTAAATATAAATACTAAGGTACTAAACAAAACTTTATAAATAAGATACAAATAAAAATATTTAAATTGGGACTAATATCCTCATCTTCGTTATTATTAGGCGGATAACAACAAAGATCAGGATATTAGTCTGAATTTAAATAATTTTAACCCCTCATCCTAAAAATTCAGACAGATTAAAATAAAATCTGTTTTCCTAGTGAGTTTAAAAGCATATTTGTAAAAAATCTATCAGAGTTATTTCATAGTCAGTGGTGCATTTACCTATAGACTTGCGGGCTGAAGCCTAGGGCTTCAAAACCTAGGGGTCTCCAACTAAGATGTATAATGTTTTTGACACTGTCATAGACCTTTCTTACACATGCTGTCATAACGGATTGTAGACTCTAAACAATCCTTCAGTAATTTTCCTTACATTCCATTTCAGAATAATTCTGTCTTAAGTCGATAACTCGATGCTAGCATTGATTTCTTTATAGTCCTTTTAAAATGTTAACTTTCATGTATTTTTTTCAATCACATACTGTATTTAACAATAATTTTTTGTCTTTTAGAGGAGTAATTGTCTACTGTGGAATTTTAAACACCCGTCATCACCATCGGCTTTACTCAGATTGTTTAATTTAACACACTTCCATTTTCTTCTACTTGTGAGACTGGAGGATTTAGAGGGACCTCACAAGTGGAATAGGCTAGGGTCTCTCTTCATCTAAATCCGGCCCTGTTCATAGGGCCTTATCAAGTGAGGAAGAAATAATTTCTTTTAGTGTGGTATTAAACGATAACCAGTCTTTGCAACTACTTAGACGCTGAAGTAGTTACAGTGCCAGGTAAGTCAAGACTACAGGGGTTGGTTTTCGATTTGGAAGATTTTCATTATACAATCATCCTAACTTTATTTTCCTCTTTATTGTAGTAAGAAATAAACTGGATCTTTGTCTGATATCCTGAATTTAGAGAGTTTAGAGTTTTTAATGAGATCTTCTGAAAGATAATAAACAGATGGCGGTGCGAGGTAGAATAGCGATTGTATCTTTCGCCGACTTCGTTTGATGTTCACAGTTAAAATTTCTGCAGTTTCAGGTGCGCATGTTCACTAAGAGGCAAAAATTCTCACTGAAATATTTGAGGGAGAAAAGCCTTTTATAAAGAAATACCGGGCCTTCTCCTTAATAGTTAATTATGTCCAAATTACGGATGAATAAAAAGAACTCAATTCTGCTCCATCTTCTTTGATAAACGAAAGTTTTCTTCAATTTCTTTTCTTTCCTCCTCTGCGTGTATAATGGTTGATGCGAGTCCCCGAATGAGGACTGATATCTTTATCGCAATATGGTACTTAACTGTGTCCTTCTACTGGCCCTATCAAATCCCTCAAGTCTGTTTCATCCTAAAACCCGAGATAACTGCCTTCAAATCTCTATCATATTTCTTTTTTCATACGTTGATGAATTTTGTAGAATATCAGATATTTATTTATCGTATTTTAATAATATAAATAATATAATCCATTTTTCTTTTCATTTCTAACGAAAATATTTAAACTTATTTTCTTTTACGTAATGTTACAGTAGCTCGGTCATGACAGATTCTTTCATATTGATGTTTTTACCATGTAACCCAATACTACTTGTAGATGAAACGAACATTAACAAATAATTCTGAACCTTGAATTGTCATATAGCTCAACTCAACTAGTCATGGTTATCGGGCAATGTAACCAGCTTTTGTTCTCTAAATGCGAACATGGCCGTGTGGGTGGTTATACATTTACCTCTGTTTCTGTTCATTCAACCAGTTACTGTTAAGTATGAATCCTTGAATTAATATTTTTTTCTGTCTTGTAACATTGATTATTACTCTTGCTTCATGATTATTACTGATAAACAAACAGGTGATTGATTTTTTTTTTATTTTATCGGATGGTGAATCGATGTGGGAATAATGGCGTCTGTCTGCTTATGTGCTGCTCTATATAAGGAATTACAGAAGTAAAATATTTACAGCCAATCGAATGTACAGCATTCGTAAACGGAAAATATAATTACCATTAATTTATATAAGATACATTTATGACGGTTCCAAGGCCGATGAAGTAAGATTTCGTGGGATTTTTTCACAATGGTTTGAAGAAAAAATATTACTTTGAAATGGTGTGTAGGCTGAGAAAAAAATTGCAGATTATTTTGAGTGCCTACAAAAATGCGTAAGTCTAAGAAGTCAAGCGTACTGTTGTATTTCAAGCTGTCCGTAGACTACGAAGCTTCGACACCAAATCAAGTAAACATGGAAAATTATTTTTTGCTTCTGGAAACACTTAAAAATTTATTTGGGTGTAACGGGTATAGCCATGAAAAGTAGAATCATCGCGCCGAATTCAAATTCCGGACTAGCGTTCACGTTTGCAATGCCCATGAGAAAGCATTGATACGTCTCTTCTCTTCAATTCGTCTGTAGATTAAATAACAATGTAGACTCTATTCTGTTGCCTTGGGTGTCAACCAGTCTAGGAGAAAGATTAGTATGTATTTCAAGCCGAAGAGAAGGCAACGGGGGAAAATACTCCATAACCTAAGAATGTAATTAACACATAAGGTAATCTGTGGAGAACCATGATCATTTGCATCTCGAGAGGACATGGCATACAAAAAATCGCACAAGGTCCCATACGCCGAAAACCCAGTGAAGATCAAACTCTTTACAATAAAAATGCATTAAATAATAGGGTAGACTGGGATCTATAGCCTAGGGTGGTAGCCAGTAAAAGAGGGAAGAAGACTGAATTTCAAACCAGAGAGAAGGCAGTCAGAAACTAACACTATTTTACGAAGTCGACAGGGTAATTCACAGAATAATGAAGATAATCTCTGGAGATTTATGACCGCCTACTTCCTATTGCTTTTTTTTTTTTTTAAATCCCATATAAAGCAAGACTAATGTTGGTCTTTCGTAAAATGAAAGCGAACTTTTGAAACATGTGGATGGCTACCAATATTATCAACACTTGGCCTCGTAAACGAGCGTTCTGGAGGAGATTCCGTCTGTCGGAAGATCGCAGTGTCTGGTAAGGCCTGTGGGAGATAAATTTTATCCGCAGCAGATGCAGTAGTAGGAATATTGCCTGTAGGAAACAAAGTTTACGGATCTGTCTCCCATTTGCTGCTGAGTCTGCAGTTGGATTCAGTAAGGGAACTCGTCTGGAAGACTTTGTGTCTCCAAGAATGTTTGTCAGGAGTCTACGTTTCTCATTTATGATATTCGATCCCGATAATGACGAGTCATTTTGGAGAATAGCTATAATTTGTTGCGTTTGCCGTAGGTCAGTTCACCAAACAGTAGGGTTTTTGTAAGTTGATAGTCGCCCATCCTCAAGTTTGGGCTGGCCAGTGCAAGTGTATTATTTTCAATATTGGCTCAATGCTTAAAGCGCTGGTGCTCTTGAGGACTTCAGGGTCACTGCAGTACACTTTGATATCTTTACTAACATATACATTACTATACAAATATTATACAAATATTAACAACACAAATATGTTAAATTTTCCCGCGGTCACCATGGAAATTAATCCGCTTGTTCCATCTCTGTATAAATATATGAAGACCTTCCTCGAAGAAAGTGGTAAAAGTGTCATCTGTGTTAAATTGCTTCCCAGATTAATGCTGTTTTTCTCACCGGGTGCGCACGCAAAAATACACACACACACACACACACACACACACACACACACATTTTGGCCATTTGGTAAATATATGGGAAGTGGATCGGAGCAAGAATTTTACAGCATCACTTATCAATAGGAACAACGGTCTTTTTATTCTTCTTTTTACTTTGCAGTCGGATTAAACAGACGTACATAAAATATTGCCGAATTACAGTACATGATCACGTATACAGGCCAATGTGTACACAGGTTAAAAATAAAGGGCATACGAACAGTATTTGGGGCGTTAACACAGTCTGATACCCAATCATGTATACAATAGCAAACACTATCCAGCGATGTATTATTTCAGGCTTCTTATACCAGTTGGATTACGGCTCCGGTTCTCGTATTTATCACCGAAGTTAAGCCACATCGAGCCTTGTCAGTAATTAGGTGGGTGACCGCTTGGGAATATCAGGTGCT